TCGCGTACGGTAAATAGGTTATACACGTTGCCCAAAATAATTAGGAGATAATATCTCCAAACGTCTCCTCCCAACTCGAGCAGATCTTTCCTTATCATTTCCTGCTCGCTGCGCATTAATATAATTAGATCTGTGCGTAATACTAATAATACTAACGAAATAAAACTGTCAAAAATATACGACGAGGAGCAATTCCCCCCCCCCTCCCCCCCGTTTGGTTCCCTAATTGTCTCGGGCATCACGTTGCATTTCATTAAGACGTTAAAGCTAAAACACCCAGAGCCCATCGAACACGCTTTCCACCATCGTCGCCCACCCACGCTCGGCACTTGCAATAAAGGCATTTGCATGCAGCAACGTACGTGTATAACCCGCGGTAATCAATGTTATCTTACGACCGTGGTCGCGTATAATAATGCGAGTTTTAACGTCAGAACGCGATAAATCGTCGAGAGAAATCTGAAATCGCGCGCGAGATTGTGGAGCAAGGTTGGCTCTAGAGAGCGCGCGCGCGCGCGCGCTTTGAAATACGCCGTTGTTTAAAAGCGTGCGACCGGCCGGGGAGAGGCGAGAGCGGCGGGGTGAGAGCGCGGCGATGGAGCGGCCGAAGAGCGAGGTGCAATTTCGGGAGCAAAAGCGTCGATGTACGCGCGATGACCGAGCCCATGGCCGTGAGTTACTCGTCGCAGACCGCGGCAAATGGAGCCTCGCCTAGAGCCGAAATTATTGCGTTTTCTTGGCCCCTGTTCAAACATCGACGTCGGCTTACGCCGCGACGACGACGACGACGACCACGACCACGACCATGACGACGACGACGACGACGACGATTATTGCAGCACGCCGGGGTGGCCTACATCGAAGGAAATCGCACTCCCGCCGCGCAGATGAGTCCATCCGCCTATTCGCTTCCGATATCATCGCGGCACGGTCGACCTACGTGCGAGAATCGAAGGGAACAGAGACAATCAAGCGATAACTTCCCGTGAAGTTCGCGCAATCTCGGGAATAAAAGTAGGAATAAAGAAAAAAGTCGGAGACTGAGTTTCACCGCGAATGCGATTACGCAAGCGTGTGTGTGTGTGTGTGTGTGTGTGTGTTCTCGTTTAAAACTCTGAATCTATCTTTAGTAAACAAATGTATAAGACTTGAATGGATTAACGCACGTACCTGTTAGGCAAATAAATTGGTAATCTGAATATTCATACCGTTAGCAGCGTAAAAGGATAGCAGTGATCGCAAGCAAGCGTGCGTGTGTGTGTGTGTATGTGATGCGCACGTGAATCGTAACGTTTACCAGATATATTGTACGTTTGACGATAACGTTCCGGTAAAAACGTGCGCCAACGTGCTGCGTTTGTTCGTTTGCTCAGTCGCTCTCAATCATGCCGATCACGCGCGATGCAACAGTGAGCTAGTAATTCGTGGATTCTACTACATGACGCGCAGTCCGAATTCGCACAATTTCCGCGCTCGCACGGACACGCGGTATTCATTCGTTTTTGCCTCCTCTCCTTTTGCAATACAGTGACGTGCACCGAAGCGTGAAACGTTCTTCGTAGCGTTCATCATGCGCAACACGTTTTATTTTACAACGAACCCTGTACGTCGTTACGATACGTCGTGTGAGGGTTAACGAGAGGATTAAAAGCTGCGCGCGCGCGCGCGCGCGAACTATCCCCTTTAACCCCTCCGAAAAAGGGGCAAGTTCGCGACTCATTACACGTGTCTCCGGTGTCTCCGACGTATTTCATAGCGCTCATTCGCCGTAGCGAGCATATTTTTTTCGAGTGAGCAAAACAAACATATAGCCGCGTGCTGCCTGGCGGCCACGATCGTTCATTGGCGACGCGCGATTCAAGGTCGTGCGGTGCGGACACAGCGCGCAATGCCTAAACGACGATCGACGACAACACCTGACAACGCTCCGCTAACAACCATCGTCCTCCCGCCACCACAGACCTCGTGTCCTGCAGCATTTCATTCTCCGTAAATTCCCGAGGGTTGCGATCCGATATCGGAAGAGCCTCGACACGTTATCGGACGGCACGCACGTGACCTGTCAGTCCGAATGACAGTTGACCGAGTGACCCGCACACACATACATACGCGCGAACACACACACACGCACACGCTCACGCACACAACAGGCGACCTCTCCCTCCACGTTTTCACGCGACTCGCGCACGATTTTGCCCCGAAATCTCCTCGACGTACCGTCCGTCGCTCGGCCCGCTTTTTCACGCTTAAGAGACATGTACGAGCTTACCACCTTGTTTACGCACAGGCATCCTTCCTTCCTGTCCTTCGTAGGCAGCTCACAGGTCTCGATGACGACGACGACGGCGACGGCGACGACAGGCGGCTGGGCAAGCACGGGCGCGCTGCTCCGGAGCAGTCCAAGACACAGGCGCGCACGAGGACACGGCGAGCTAGGCGACGACACGAACGGACGACGAGATGTGACTGTGTACTCGCGGTCAACTGTCACTTGGAGACGTGTTCACAAACGACACCCCCCCGGTATCCCCGAGTCGGGCACGGATGTGTCGTCGTCGTCGTCGCAGCACCAGCTGTCACGACAACCGACGGTCAGTTTCGCACACTGTGTCTGCGAATCCGTACACTGTTCGTAATATCACTCGCGAGAGAGAGAGAGAGAGAGAGAGAGATAGAGAGAGAGAGAAGCCGCCGCGACGGCCCGTGGGAACGTGCGAGAGAACGAGAGTAACGCGATATAAACACACTCAGGCCGCCGCCACCACTCGGCCACGGGCAATATGGCGTCCCGCCTGGTCTAGCAGCCGGAAAACCGACTGGCTGGCAGGGGTAGAATGCCCGGCGCTGATTGGTCCGCCGGCCGCCAAAATGTGACGTCACCGTTCGCTCTCTCTCTCTCTCTCTCTCTCTCTCTCGGCCGCTCGTAGCACGCGCGCGCTACTCTACACTACGCGCAAACAACCCCCTTCACGCCAACAACCACACCACCGCGGCCGCGCGCCGTACTTTCCTGCTGCTGGCTTCGCTACGTACGCGAAGCCGTCGATATTCGATATGTAAACCCCGAGCGAGGTACTCGATAATCGCCCGCCCGTGTCCGCCGTTCTCCCTTCTCGAGCGAGTCCCGTGCGAACGTTCGACCTTCCACGATTCAAAGCAGCGTTGTCTATGGCCGTTGCCGTTTTGTGTCGCCGAATACGCGCCCCTCTCCTCCCAACGGAGTGACTGAAGCGCGTGAAGTTGCTCGACTCATTATAGGTTGGCGATTTTTTCAAGTGGATGTCGTCATGATGCGAAAAGATGAGTTCGTAGAATCGACAAAGCGATGCTTTAGCGAACGTCGATAAGCGGAGTTTCCTACGCGGACAATGTTGGCGATTCGATAATTGTCGTATCATTAACGACGTCCGCAGTGCGAAAACGAGCAACATTCACGCGAGTGATTTAGCAAAACAGAATAACGCGTGTTTGCGTTATGACGATCGATTTGTGCGCAAAAAGCGTCATAAGGACGATGTAGGAATGAGATTTTCTTCGAATGCAAATCTCTGAATGCAAATAAATTTGCATGTTTACCTTGTAGCGCAACCGTCTTTCTACATCACGACCGATCTGCGTGATACGCTCGAGGTGGTCAGATCGGATCGATCGGGATTGAGATTACGTACGCACTGTCGACGTTGTTCCCAAGTAATTTCGGATGCGCCACGCGAATCACACTCACCGAACCGTCGAAAGACATGTAACTCGAATGTCCTATATCCGTGATATTGTCACTATGCGTCGTTTGTTCGATATTCAAATACGCTTTCATACCTCCCGTTCGCCGCCATAGTTTTGTACTGGACAATTAATTCGATGCACCAACTAAACGTGGCGTTACTGATCAGATGTGCGACTGCTGCTATCTCGTGACAGAATGCAGTACTACGAGAAACAATCAGCTCGACAGCACCGACGAGGTAATATCAGAAAGGAACCTGAGAGCGGCCAACGAGAGCGGCGTTTTCGGCGATACCAACTTTCCGCACTAAGAAAGAGCGCCATCTGCATCCATTTGGAGAGGTGAATTACGATGTTACATCCACTTTCGGGTCTCGGTGGTAATGTAAATGTGATTGCGGATGTCGCAGAAAAACGCTGAATAACGCAAAAAGATGAAAAACGCTGAAAAACACATCCACATACATATCACGCATATCATGTGGATAATGTGGATGTGGATGCGAATGAGGGATGTGGATGCAGATGTGGATATAGCTAGACATGGATGTCGCAGAAGAACCAAGAAAAGCGCAGAAAAACATTTTTCTCTCTGCTACAACGCTTCTCCAGTCATTCGTCTCAGAGCGCGCTCATTCGTCAAATTTATGTAATTAATATCTCGATAATTATTGCGAATCTCGCAAAACGGTATGGGGTATTTTATGTTTGTCTTAACCCAATCTACCTTCACATTTGTCACAGTTGACGGGTCACAATTACCGGACACCTTATATATTTATACGATACGCAGACAGCACCGGACATCCAGTGGATGTACGTTTCACATCCAATTTATGTCCGTATGTCCGATTTACGTTCGTGGAGATAAATTGGACGTAACAATTGGATGTCCTTATTTGGACATCGGACTTGTAGGACGTCCGATGTACGTCCATCGGACGTTCGTGTCCGAAGTTGTGACAAATGTGCGTCCTATGGACGTCTTTTGTAAAAAAAATGGACATATAACGGACGTCCAGTGGACGTCCATGTGCTATCTGGGTATAAATCGTATATAATCTTCATGATATTAATCATACACAATCTCAATTCTTCTCTTCTTTTGCGCATGTTTATTCATGTTACAAATGCATAACAATGTGCGAGAGACCGTACTTGTCAAGTACGCTAATATGGTTGTAGCACGGACATAAACCGCCTGAAAGTGGATGTAGCACGGACATGCACGTTTTACCGCCGAGACCTGAAAGTGGATGTAACATCGTAGTTCTCCTCTCAAAATGGATGCAAATGGCTCCCTTTCCCAGTGCTGCGGAAAGTCGGTGTCACCGAAAACGCCGTGTTGGACGCTTACAGGTTCCTCTCTGCTAGAAAAAGGAATCGAAACATTTACGTAATAGATAACAAAAAAATATCTATTTCTGACAATCAATTATGTCTTGAGAAGATAGAAAATGATGTATTAATTTGTAATCCTTTTACATCTATTTAATGAATTTAATGAATTGGTAATTATAATTAATGCGTTAGGTTAGGTGATGCTGTGCGTGTGTATGTGCGCGCGTATGTGCGTGAAAGTACTAAATTGCTATACTGTGCCAGTATTTCATAAATCAAAGAGAACGCCGAAAAATGGATGAAGTTAAAGAGCGGACCACCAAAAATGTTGTACCGAAAGGTGCTATAATGTTGACAAGATATGAAGCATTAACGCATCAATGGAATGTCGTTAGTGACTGGAAATCACAGAAAGATGTGTACGTAATCATTACATTTTCAATCGAAAACCGCTGCTATTTTTCCTTTGCTCCAAGATAGCCCAAATCACGGTCCTATGAATTGAATTACTTGTTATTTAACACAATTTAACGCAAAAAGTGTAAGCGCAACAACATACACACATAAAATGACAAATATTTACCTAGATGGCCATTGGTACACGGATGCGGTATCCTGGGTATAGCGGCAGGACTGAGCGGTACTTACATTAATTATTGGTTTAGACAAAAATTGAAAGCACGCAATATTGCTGTCTTACCCACTATGATGATGTCTGCACTAGCACCAGCCCTTTTAACAGGTCTCTTTCAATCACAGGTATTTATTAATGAAAACAATTCAATTGACAAAGATATGTCCAGTGATTCAATTCAACAAGAAATAATGCAAATTCTAATATTATTCTTAGATGGTCATGAACAAAATATTGCTGCTAGAGGAACCTTGTCCCTTATGCTTACAATTCAAGAGTGCTTTAATACAAATGTCTACTGGAACACTTGTACCTATGATTATATCACCAATGGTTAATTTTGCGGTAAGTATAAATTTGGTAACATTATGGAGTATCAGTTATATATAGAATCAATTATTATATAAGATATATAATCATATAAAAATATATATATAATTATTGTATACATATATAAATTATAAGATCCAACTATAAAAGAAATTAGATATATATATATATATATATATATATATATATTATACTTTTTATACTTTTACATATTAAAAAAAATATATATACACACACATGCTTACATATTTATATATTTAATTCATAGTTTATTGGCAGTAATGTACATAATGTACCATATGCAACAGAGGGTAAAAAGGTGCTTGCAGTAACACAATTGATCTATCGATCCTTGATGCCCAGATTGACATCAGTTTTAATTTTCCAAATGCTCTTTGGTGGTTATATGACATACTTGCAAACTAAGTATTTCTTACGTTTACAAGATATACTTTATCTACTAGAACGAGAAGAAAGAAAAAAGGAAATGCATGTCAAATACTAATTGCTGCTAAACTTTATATGTACCTATCTGTAGTTATACTTTTAGTTATGATAAAATATAAAATATATAAAGTTAACGAGTGATTTCTCATTGATGCACAAATTCCATTGTATAATTAAGTCATCGGGCACCTCAATACCTAACTGCTATAACTCCAGTTGAATGCTTTATTAAATTCGAACTTAATGACATAAGGACAAAAGGATTGCGACAATTTGTAGAATATAAAATGTATTTTTATTTCATCATTGACATAGTGTTATAAGACGTTTATAATCGTTCACCAATGTTCTTGCATTTACCAAGAGAATCCTACGTAAAGTTACGCATATACTTGCTATTTCCTTCTCTCGAAATTAATCCAGTATCTAGGCACCGTATGATTTTTTACAGTAATAAACGCTTTCGAATTGTTTGAAAAGATCACTGCTTTAAATATCAACATTATGTACATAGTTTTCCGATTCGACAGAATTTTCCTGTAATAATTGATTCTTCCATTTTCGCTCGACACACAAATTTCAACCTTACGATATCCAGTCAAACATATACGTACTAACTAATATTGTTAAATACAATATGAATGTTTATATAGGCTCAAGATAGAGTAAGATCGATAGTTTGAATCCGATATTGTTGTTTACCAGTCGAATACGTATTTTATCACGGAAGCCCGCGGATTTTCCACACAGGCTACCCACAACCAAGAGAAAAAATTACGTTCGGAACCTTCGTCCCTCTGCTACATTAAACCAATTATTTGAACTTTTGTCAATTTAGTAACACCTTAAATCACTACTCAAAGCTCGTATTCGCAAAGAAGTGTAGTATCCTTACTTATTTTTGTTTTGTTTTGTATATCTATAAATACTTATGTCACATATTTTCTAAATATCTTCCTCAGATAACGAAAAAGTTCTTCATACGGTCTGGTTTCTAAGGTCAAATATCGGGCACAGGTGAGTGTGTAATTTTTTTGATTTGCCAACTAGTCTATAGTTAAGTATATTACTGGCAGTTTACTGGACGTTACACGGGGGCCCAAGTAGCAAGGAGATCCCAAGGAACTATGTGTATGCGATAAGAATGTATAAAAGATAACACACCAGATACTAATGCACACATCGGTTCAACCAAGGTACAACAACGTGAATTGTTTTATTCTTTGGGAGTAGGACTTTTATAACACCTACAACAATGATTATGTTGGCAGTGAATGAATTATCCAGCTATCCAGTGTAGCCGCGGAATCTAAGAAGCAAGACCATTGAGATACGTGAAAAATACAACGCGCCCTACACGACACATGGTATCTTCTGTCCGCGCGCGATTTAATATAAAAAGTGCCTGACCTTCTATGATTATGTGACAATGCTGTTAAGCGTACCACGCGTTTTAAGGTACATCGACAGACAGTGTATCCCCGATCTCTTCTCGTATTACTCCTCCAGCGATACGTTTTTTTTTATCCACCCTTAGCAATATAATTCAACGCATACACCTATACAGTACACACAATTGTTTTGCTGTTTTCGGTAATGTGTTTTATCTACTCTTAAGTGTTCGGAAAGAGAAAATGAGAGAGAGAGAGAGAGAGAGAGAGAGAGAGAGAGAGAAAGAAAAAAATTTTATCCGACATCATTATAATGTACATGAGTCGTGACATTACCATGATTTGCACAGCAATCAACATCACAATGAGATCGTCATTTTTTTGTTAATGTGTGTCTTACATCTATATTATAACTATATATACGTAATATATATATATATATACATATATATATACATATATATATATATATTTCTTTTATTAATCGTAATGTAGTCCATTGTTTATTTACAGTAGAGGTCCCATTCTACAGATTGCCGAATATAGTCGTTTGTTAATGCAGAAGCGGTCGAAATGGTTTGTACGGACAAGTAAAAAAATGTATGCAACAATAACTTTTAACTTCAGATATCTTTAGAAAGGAAGTTTTCGTTTTATCGAAAAAAACCGACTAAAAAAAATAAGAAAACGTAATCGCTAACGTCAACTTATCGTGTTATTGGCGCACAGACGTAAAGAATCCTTTGCTGTAATAAAACTTTGGACTATAATTCCAAACGCCTCAAACTTCATTGTAGGAATGGTATAAATATGCAACATTAAAAATTTATACAACATATTCATGCCATTTATATTTCGTTATACAACAATCTGTATATACTATTAAAAACAAAGACGAAAAAATCAACATGCTTATGAATAAAAGTTACTGCATATGGTATGAGACCACATTTACTAGTAACCTAATGATGAAAAGAAAAAAAAAAAACCTTTAATTTATACCATTAATGCAAAGAAATTTTGTTCAGACGTTATAGTGTTATATCGTGTGAGGTGTTAAGTATGGAACAATTAATGCGTTACATCTTAGAAAGGAAACAAGTTTTGTACGTTGCAAATGATATAGCGCGTCAGTTTGTTGACTTTGCTTCGATAAATAAAATTACTCCTCGACTGTATATAAGGAAATTTGAATATTCCTTTGCTCGCAAAATCTGCCGGTAATTTATATCTGCGTTCGACGGCGCAAATAAATATGCAAACACAGAACCGTCACGAATTCTCGAAGGTTCCTTACGGCACTCGTTTTGTAAATACCAATGTTCCCGTCGAATATCCTAGCATGATGGCAAAGCTAATTGTAGTATTTACATCTCATACATCGATCGGTGGCTAGTCGAATTATAAAGCGTTAGCGAACTGAACTTGGTTCCATCGTTGCACGCAAATAGATCATTCTTCCATTTTCGATTCCAATTTAACAATCATAAAATTGTACAACACGAGAACAAGAATCTACCTTATAGAAATGTCTCTAGCCGCTAATATCATTTATTTTTATCGCAAGTGTCACCTTGGAAGAACATTTACTACCATACTCACTTGCATTTTCCTCACAGAGGAATATATCGCGCGACACAAGGGAAAATGAGAAAGACAAAAAGAACAGATAGAAAGACTAAATGCTGAACAATCAAAATATAATAGGCACCAATTAAAGCAGTAAAATAGATCATACATGACATTAGATCGCCTCTTACCGCATCCTAGAAATTCATTTTTCAACGTTACAAAACTTTGTAAAGAATAACGATGAAGCGAAATGAAGGATGCGACATATAATTCTATCAGAATGGTGGGTAGTTTTGCATGGGTAACATAACTGAAGAAATCGGTGGCATCGGTAGCGTATGTATGAAAGTGGGGTGATTTGGTTGGACCATAACTAAGGTATGCTGTTGATTGGCCATGAAAGAGTTATATTGAGTGGTACTGTATTGTGGATAAATGGTATTAACTGTGTCAGTATTTTTGTAACAAAACGTGCCAGGCGTTTGGCAAGGTAGGGGCCCCTGAATAGGACCCCAAGCCAGCTGCTAGCATCTCCGGTTGTGCCAATGTGTCATGTAGTCTTGATAGCTTACAGTAACCTTCTCGCTCTGGTACCGCGTCAGCTTCAAGCTGCGCCTAATGTCTGGTGTGACTAAGCCCTTATAGCCGCCCTTGTGTAGTAACGAGTCTATCGTCTGTATCTGGTCCCAACCTGTATATAGAGAAATACGCTGGTCTGACGAACCGTCTATGTATCTACTTGATCAACACAATACGCTTTGCGCAACGCGCGTGTGTGTGTACATCTACGAACCTTGCTCGGTCGCAACATCAGGTAAATAAGTAGCAGTTCTTTTGTTGCCCTTCTCATTGTGGAACTCTATACGAATACCGTGAACTCCTATTTCCCAGTCTAAGTAATCTACGCCATCCTCAAAATGCCGCAGTATAGACACACTTACATGTAAGCGTGGTAATTCTTCTCTTGTTATAGGATTAAACCGCGAATCCTTAAAAGCACTGTAAAATATAATCATTCAATTTATATAAGAAGCCCGCTTCAAAATTTCATCATCGGAATCATCCATCCAAAAGTCCACGTTACCTAGTAGTAGCATATTCCCTAAGTCCTGCATGTAAGTGCATGGCATTGAATGTACCGATACAACCACGTAATCTCATGTCCTTGCCAATTGTCCATGTTACAAACAGGGGGCTGGAAAACATAGAAAAAAAAGATACAGATAGAATAATCATCGACATCAAACTTGGTGAGGATTTACAAGTTAATCCTGTAACAAAAGAGCTCGCCATATTAAACTGTACTTGTATGCGATAAAATATAATTTTGCCTAAGTTATACAGAATGCTGCTCACTAGCTTCCACCTTGAGTCGATATACAGACAATACATTGCTATTCCTATAAGTAACGCAATAATCTTCCAGCGAATAACATTGCGATACACATTGTTGCTATGAACAATAATCATCATTGCAGTGAAAAAAAAGGAAGAATGGGGGATGGGAAGATACGGAAGGAGCGGTAAACGATTTTCATTTGTTTGTTTGTTGTCCAAGTTAAATGAGACATAGGATACGCGTAACAACAAAGACGCGACGTTTACATTTCGATAAAGCAATCCGCAACATACAACAACGCTCGCATGCCGCATAACCTCGGGGTAGGACAAGGTCGAGTGGCACGAGCGAGGTAGAACCGATGAAGGTTCCGAGAGGGGTAGGACGGCATAGCTCGCAGGACACATTGTCATCGTCGTCGAGGAGCCGCGCTCAACGAGCGTCCCCGTAGTCAGTTGATGATACAAAGAAGAGAATCAGCCCACCGACAAAGAAGCGCGTTGGCGTGGGTGGCGGGAGAAAAAGGACGGCAATGGGGAAAAAAGCGCTCACAGCGGGGGTGGGAGAGGGAAGGAAGGGAGGGAGGGAGGGAAGAAGTGGCGGGTCGGGGAAAGCCACGAGCGTGACAGAGAGACGCTCCTCGCGACGTGAAGTGGGACAGGGACGGTGGCAACGCGTCGGGACGACGTCAGTGGTGACTACTCACAATGCTTCGTTGCTAAAGTTGGGCGGTTTTGGTGGGTCGAGTTGGTGCAGTTGGCAGTAGAGGACATCGAAACAGTAGAAACCCATCTCGGGCTGCACGATCGGCGTGTTACGTATACGTGTGCCGTTTGACAACACCGTGGTACCATTACACGGTGCGCCCGTCGAGTTGTTGTTCAACTTTTGCTTCTTCGTACCGCAACAGCCAGCAGCCATGTTTCCCACTCGACTGCCGTCGACTCCCGCGACCCGACTGCGGACACGAACGGTCTACGACCCGTGGTGTGTGTCTCACTCTCGTCCGCCCGTCGCGGCCGCCGCCGTCGTCGTCCTCGTCGTAGCGTGCGGTGTCGCGCGCGCGCCCCGCCAGATGCCACCGCGCACGCCAAAACAGCTGTTTCATCGCCCGCCATTTCGCTGCCGCGAGATTCGTCCGTCCCCCGCTTACGCTCCCATACGATCGACCCACGCGCGCCGCTTCGCGCAAACGTTCGTTCATTCATAATACAAAGAGACGAAAGCTCGGTCCTGTTTTGTTGCACTGTGTTGCACTTTCTGCACCCAAGATGAAATAAATACGCATCGAGGCGTCTGAAGGGAAGGGGGAAGAACAGAATTGCGTGCGAATTGCGTGAAGGACACACACAGTCGAAGGAAGGAGCGTGCGCGATCCAAGATGGTATGATTCTCGACGTGAGACTGGACGAAACAATACATACAACAAAAATGGCTCGAACGATAACGTCGGGTGTCTACTTGTCTCTTGACGTACTTCTACCGTTTGCTAAGGCATAGCAAAGCGAGCAGGCTGCGAGCAGGAGTCTCGTTCTTCAACGAGCGACAACACGCGGAGCGATAGACAACGCGACAATGAAGGAATCTCCTTCCTACTTTTTCAGAAACAATTGACATCGGCAAAGAGTTGCCGCGTCATTCGCAAATCGTCCTCCTGGACGAGTTTCAAAACTCATTCTAACACGACACATGTCCCAGCAGGTTTTACGGACGCGCACTTTTACCAAACTCGATATCCTTCGGACAGACGCAGAAGATTACGGGTGTCGGCTAGGTCACCGCGAAAGAATCAGGCACGTGAGCTCCTCCACTTGGCAGAGCGGAGTATTATGCCACACAACAATGCCGCACGACGCTTCAGTCGTCGCCAATTCAATTCATACACGCGGCGAGATAATCGCGCGTACGCACTTTCCCGCATCGATCTAACGCAGCGAGTCGCGAGGTCCAACGGCGACGGTTAAACACGCCACGCGATAGGTGAAAGCGACAGCGAATGCCTCGGTTCGCAATTCTCGACCGCTCACGTCCGCCTGCTCGTCGCGCGTTACTTACCGCGCGGCAAGTGCGCGAAGGACCGTGCGGTTGCGGTGTGACACGGCGAGCTCGTATTTTACCACGCACCCCCATCACAGGGTGATGAACAGCGGCGGCGGCGACGGCGGTGGTGAACTTTACTACGTCGCGAGCACGTTGCGAGAATCACGAGCCGGCACAACCAAGTCGACACGAGAGAGCGACGTGACGACGCGCGATTTCGCCGAGCGCTCGCGCCCGGGGAAGAAAGAAAGCCGGGGAAAACGTCGTCTCGGCCGACCTCCTCTCCGTCAGACGCGAATGCACTCTCGACTGCGCGCAATATGTCGACGCCCGCACGCCCGCGACCGCCGCGAAGATCGTCGTCGCGCGCGACGCGCGGCGGACTGTCACGGCGCGTAAGCACGCGCGCTCCGCCGCGTCAACGACGTAATCGCCGGCGGAGCACGTACTCCCTTCGTGTACGCGAAAAGCATGCCCTTCGACACGCCGCACCATCGACACGCACGCACGACGACGACGACGCGATTCGTCTGCGCGTCGCGACGCCGGTCGCGTTGCACTCACGCGCGCGTGACATTGCCGCGCCATCTCGCGGAGCGGTCGCGCGCAATTGGAAAATATAGATAAATAGATCTCTCTCTCTCTCTCTCTCTCTCTCTCTCTCTCTCTCTCTCTCTCTCTCTCTCTCTCTCCCGCATCAGCTGGTGTATTTTGTCGCGCTCTTTCCTGTGCGTTCATGTAAGACAAGAGTTCTCGTGTTTACTCGCACGAGTCGTCGAGAGAGCTCTCATTCATTTTTGCAAAAATTCCGACTGAGATAAGGGGCGGACGAACAGCGCGGGGAAAATTGATTGCGATAACTCTTGTGACAATATAATAAATCTTTATTCCGTTTTTTCTCCACCGCGGTGAAAGCAGCCTGCAAGTTACAAGTCAGTGTGGATCTCGAACGTCGGCGGCTTCGTAAGTCCGCTTTTCGCGCCGGCGTGTTTGAATGCACGCGAAGATCAGCCTGTCGTCTTACGTTACGTCGTCAACGTCAACTCGGGCGAATACGTTTAGTCTCGAGTTGGGAGAAACCGAGAACGGACGCCGATTGCCGTTGGTTATCGAGAAATGAAGCTGATGAGATTAAAGTGGGCCGGATCTGTGGACGAAGCGCTTATTCTATGCAGTTTTACAAGACACGTCACGGCGAAAGTTTTCGCCACGAAATGCACGGCAATCCAGCGAATTTGCACGGTACGTGACGATTAATTAAAGAGTTGCGTTTGAGTGCAAACGCACTCCTATTTCATTGTCAAAATCCAACGCGCGAGCATATTAGCCGCTTGTGTAAATTGCGAAAATTCAAATTTACATTTATGACGATCGTTAGGATCATATTCCTCCCTCGCTGTAATACAGCTGAACAGCGAAACTGCATTATTGTAAGTTTTTGTTGCACAAACAGACGAGACCCCGTACGAGCCAAAATGAGAGCTCGTATGCAACGCGAAACGCGCGCTTCGCGTTTTATTACTTCGTATCGTATAATAGAATATCGTAATGACATTGAATCGAAGCACGCGTGGCAGTTTGTCGAATTAATGTTAATATCGAGACTCAAAAGGCGAGAACAATTCGAGAAATCGCCAATCAATCATTCATTAGGTGAATATCTCGATTAGTAACGCAATGTGACACGGAAACACGACGTGACAGAGATAAGATACAATAACAATTCTTCATTTATTTCTTAACGAATGTCCTTAGTATAAAAGATACAACAACGAATAAATTGGCAGTGTGTTATCGCCCGCTATCGATAATAGCTGGCAGTTCGAGAGAAGAAGCAGAATTGACGTTGAATTGTGTGTCACGATCTTGCCAAGTATTCAGTTCATTAGTCGTAAAACTGTGTGTGTGTGTGTGTGTGTGTGTGTGTGTGTGTGTGTGTGTGTGTGTGTGTGTGTGTGTGTGTGTAAAATGCGCGCAAGTTGCGTAATTATACATCAATAGATGTACGATACAAGATATATCGCGACTGTGCTACGTAGCTATCACGGAATTGTAACATTTTTATAAATCATACAACACTTAAAAATTCACGATGAGATCTTCCACACTTTCTCTCTCTCTTTTTTATTTTTCTCTACGTCTTCTTTTCTCTTCTTTTACGTCTTACGTCTAACTTACGTTCTATCGTTTATCTTTTTTGCTGTAGTTCTCGTTTCTTCTCTAAACATTGCTAACTAAAAACGATTAACCACAGAAAATTTACGTCATCTCGTTAAGCTTACTCGACTTACTCACGTGATACACGTGATGAGTGTAATTGTTTCGATAAGGCGAGAATCGCTTTCACCACGATATACTATCTCACGCTATCTCACTAAACACATCCAGATGAATGTATGTCCCAATCAGAGAGAAATATATCAACAAAAATATTGTTTATCAAAAAACCGAAATTTCGTCTCGGTTTCGTCTTCGTTTGACGTACGTCGTTCACACACGAATGTTCACACACACGTAATACTTATCGTACAAAGAATGGAATATACATCAGTTTGTACATTAAACCTCGCGAAGCAGGCAGTGCATTTTTAGGCTGAATCACTGACCCGTGGAAAGCGTTCGTTCGTTGCCACTCGCGTATATCACGGAATCACGAACGGATTCTTAGTGATATATATATGGTGGCAGCGTTAATTGCCGTTGACAACGGACGACCCAATGCATCCGTTACAAAGTGGGAGTTTCTGTGTTGCCATCTTCATGGACTAGAGAAATTTTGGAAATTATTTTTATTTTAAAATATCAAGACGCTCTCTCATAGACGCACGTGCGAACATGCAAATGTATATAATTGCCGAGGCGCGCGAATTTCATTAGAGATCCGCGTATCGAATCGAGACGCGTGATAAAAGTGCCATGTGTGCGGAATCGACGCGAGCGTCGTTACCGTTTTTTCTGTCGACGCGACGACTTAACAATTAGACAATGTCGTGATGCGCGCGCGCGCGCGCGCGCGACAACGTCGTTATTATCCTCAAGACGGCGCGCGTGATATATCATCAAACGGGAAACCGCGTACACTGAGACACGAGAAACGCGCAGCACCGCTTGAAGCGGTGGAGAATCGCGCGAGGAGAAACCGCCGCCAGTGTCATTTTCGCTTACGTACCCCGCGTACTTCCGCGACTTCCTGCGTCGAGGAGGAGCGATGCGGTCGAGGATGAAGAAGCGGCGCAGACGGATAGGACGGACCCGCATTATTCCACCAGCCGGGCGGATTGTTACGTATCGGCACCATGACCGGGGGGATCGGGGGCAAAGGTAGCGGGTGTATGAATGTCGAGCGACCGGGCTGCGTGACGATCTGCGTGTTCTGCTGATTGGACACCAAGGGATTGTACCGAGCGTTATCGTGCGGCGAGACGTGAGACGGACTGACTGCGTGCACGTTGTTATAGCGAGTCTCGGCGGATCTCTGGGGCAGGGGCCCTTGGGCAGGACCCCAGGCGAGTTGCTAGCATCTTCGATTGTGACAATGCGTCATATAGTCCTGATAGCTCACGGTGACCTCCTCGCTCTGATAACGAGTCAGTTTCAGGCTACGACGAATGTCGGGCGTGACTAGGCCCTTGTAGCCGCCCTTGTGTAGCAGAGAATCTATCGTTTGTATCTGGTCCCATCCTGAACATCGGGTTATAAGAGGGTTATTGCTATTGTCCCATTGTCGTTTTAGCTTTCGACATTGGAGCTACAAGGAGAATCTGCTCACACTACTACTTGTCCTACTAGCCTACGTTACAGATACGCACCTTGCTCCATAGCTACGCTGGGCAAGTAAGTGGCCGTCCGCTTATTACCCTTCTCATTGTGGAACTCTATACGAATGCCGTGAACGCCCACCTCCCAATCTAAATAGTCAACCCCGTTCTCGAAATGCCGTAAAATCGACACGCTCACGTGCAAGCGCGGCAGCTCGTCCCGTGTTATCGGATTAAATCGGGAATCTTTGAATGCGCTTCAAAACATACATAAAAATATATACGTCATAGTGTGCCTGCTCTGTCCCAACGCGTGGGACATCACAGTTATACTCGTTATATATTAGCAATCATCGAAATCTGACACCACGTAACATCTCTCACTCTCTCTCTCTCTCCCTCTCTCAGTTTGTGAGAAACATTGTCTCACCTAGTTGTAGCGTACTCTCGTAGCCCAGCGTGTAAATGCATCGCGTTAAAAGTACCAATACAACCTCGCAACCTCATATCTTTTCCTATTGTCCACGTCACAAATAAAGGGCTGAAAAGATGCATCTGCATTAAAAATCTCGCGCTTATAGGTACACACTCTTCTTTTCTTCTACTGCAACCACACATACACATACACATATATACGTACACACATACACACACACACACACACACACACACACACACACACACCAGCGAACGAGAGGAGTGAAGAGGAGCGAAGCAGACGAGCCAGCGAATCGTGCCCATCGCGTTGTACGACACGCTCGATATTCGGCGAAAATACGGGAAAAATAATAAATACGATGAAAATAGCATCGAATGACAACTCGGTTCCCAGCGTTAATCTTCCCGACGAAGTTCCAACGTGCGTGCGTGCAATGCACGTGTGCACGCAAGGACGTCTACAAAGATGATCAACGCATCGCCACCATTGCCATTAACGACGCTCCCGCGTAGATACAACGTCGTAACAACGAAAGTGCCTCTCGGTGGCCTATATAGCAGCTGGCAATACAATACGAGAAATCGAAGCGCGCCCCGCGATAACGCGCGCACACCAAATCCACACACGCGCGCGCGCGCGCGCGACCCAATCAAACAATGCGTCAATAACGCCCGATCACGCAGGTGGCTATTTCTCGCGGGCTCGGCGGGGCGGCCTCCGTCCTCGAAGATTGAGCTGACTCGGCGAGCATGCCGAGCGACGTGCGCAGCATGGAAACGTAAGTGACGTGATAAGAAAAAGAAGCCGGCCGACGCACGGCGTGAAATACACAATTTCCCCACAGTACATCCACGCTGCGTGGGGAATCGACGTCGGCCGACGTCGTCAGAAATCGCAAGACGATCGATCGTAATCTCTAATCGCGGACTCGGCGACAAAGCGAGCGCGGCGTCCGGCCGCCGCGATAAAGACGACCCGTTATCGGTGATAAACGAAGACAACACAGCTGACACGACGCGCGAGCGAGACAGAGCGCGGTCGTGCTGCGCGAGTGGGACGAAGACAGAGGGGAGAGATGGAGACGGATAGATGGCATGTTACATACGTGTAGGTATAGGTAGGAGACACCGCGAAGGCTACTCACAACGCTTCGTTGCTGAAGTTGGGCGCCTTCGGCGGGTCCAGCTGGTGTAGCTGGCAGTAGAGCACGTCGAAGCAGAAGAAACCCATGTCCGGCTGGGCGATCGTGCACTTCCTCGGTTGAGGAGCACCGTGTCGCGCGACAACGCTGCCGTCGCAAGGCGATAGGCTCGACGTACCGCCCAGCCTCTGCTTCTTCGCGCCGCAGCAGCCAGCGGCCATGTTCCTCCTCAGGTCACCCGCGAGCACCGTCGCGGTGGTGGTCCTCCTCGGCGGTCTGCGTTCCTCCTCACCGCGACGTACTCTACGTCGACGTCGTCGCCGACGCGCGCCGGATCGCGCCCGCGCTCCGCTAGATGTCGAGCCGGCGGCAGCGTGAACAGCTGTTTCATTACCCGCCATTTGTACGGCGTCGCGTCATCGCGCCATTGATAATTAGCGGCCGCGTCCGCCGTCGCGTTGCGTCGCGCGCTGTGCTGCGCTGCGCGTTGCTCGACAACGTCCGACGATCGTCGACCAACGTCGGGTCCCTCGCGAGATGGCCGACTCGAGCGCCTCCACCGATGCGCCTTGGGAACGTTGACCGCTGCTCCTTCTGCCCGCACTTTTCCTGTATTCTGTACTTTCCTTTTATTCTTCTACGCTCTTTCGTACGGAGGCTAACCTGTACCTCGTGTGTACATACCTCTTCATTGCCGTGTCATTGAGAAGAACGCAGGCCTGTGATAAGTGCAAAACGGTAATGCTTTGTTTTTCTTCAGTTGCACCTACTGGAGTGCACTTTCTGCACTCGGAATAAAACGGAATAAAAACGGAATAAAAAGGAAACGAGTCATTTGAACAATTTGAGTGGCATATACTGCGATATCAATTGTTTGCAGTCTCCGTTGTTTGTTTCATTCTTTGTGACAATCTTCGGACTAGATTCTTATATTATTATGTGTTCCGAAAGTAACTATATCTGTATAATGTAACTAAGCTAGGCGGGAGCACGTATCAGAAAGTACCAACATCTTTGGTGGAATTTTTATCGCTCTGAAGTTTATGTTATTTCACCTGCTCTACATTTTTAAATGAGGAGGATGATTTAGCAACATGGAGGACTTTCTTCTGCCCCTCAACGTACGCGAGCTTTGTTTATCCGGAACCAAGGACGACAGAATGACTCGTCGTCTTCTCTCGTTGGACGTTGGACACAATGTTTTCGATGAAAAAGAGGAATCCACTGATGCCAAAGGTTTGCCGGTGCACTCACTGTAAAATGTCACACACAAGCGTAAACATGACACGAACCTCGAAAACACTCGGCCAAACACTCATCGAAAAAAGTATCGGAACTTGAAACGAGAATGTACTGATAGTCGATTTAACGATGATAATCCGAGATATCTATCTATTTTTTATCGTAATAAGCCTGCGCTTCTTAAAACGACGCTCACTACGCGAGAGTGTTATGACCTTCTGTTCCCTCCTACAAGTAGAACCAGCAGGGAAACCGTTACTCGATTAAGTCTATCGTACTTGACGAGTCGACCAGTAAATTCGTCGGACAACGAGTCCGAATCTTGGAATCTTGAAATCGACACCGCGGCATATCGTAAAGGAAAATTGCGTCTGATGATCGTTACAGCGTTACTCGGGAAACATTTACGATTTATATAATGAGATCGGATTACGGAATCGAAATGATTTATTTATCCTCCAATGATAAACGGTCGATACACGTAATTGCACCCGACATGCGAGCGACATTAGTTTCCCATTCGTTTCATGTGTCCGGTTGCTTTCGCTTGTCCCATTACAAGCTGAATTACCGCGAGCTATCTTCAGTCACTATCGCAAGTCTGAAACCTTCAATTTCTCTTCGGCAGCGACAAGCAATGATGTGAAATCCCAGCGCGCTGTTTGCTCGACACCGTATAGACGGCGTGCGACTGCGCGGAGTGGAGCGGCGCGCCGCGAAAATTGCGAAAGCAAACGCGTAATGACGTCGCCGGCAGCAAGGGCACCTGGATTCCTAGTTCCTTACCTGGCACCTGCCTACGATGCACCGTGGAGGTGGCCGAGTCGTGACAGCGGAATCAACCTGGCAACGTGCGCGCGCTCGCGGCTACTCGCGCTACTCGTGTCACACTCCGCGAATATTTCTGTGACATTTCGGCATCTTCACGAGCCCGCCGCCGCCGCCGCCGCCGCCGCCACCGCCGAACGGCCGGAACGGGCGGAACGGGGAACGGCGCGGAAACGTCGGGAATTTCGTGGGACATCGGAAGCGCGATCGGCCGGCGCGAATTCGCAGCGTTCGGAAATTCGCTCGTGTGCGACGTGAGTGCGCGCCGGTGCGGCTCGCGGCTTCGCGTGCCGCACGGACGGATTTTTTGAGTGCAACGTACCAAGGATAACGCCGGACCTCGAGCGAGCGCAGCGCGCGCGACTCGCTGCGTGTACGAGGCGCGGTGCGGCCAGCTGCCGGAATCGACGAGCGATCGGGTGAGTCTCAGGATAGATTATCCATCAGCCGTGACAGACGCTCTTTTTTCCTGACGCGACCTACGGCCGCATCGACTCACTTATAACGCTTTCGAAGCCGCAAACTCGCGCGCGCGCGCGCGCGCGCGTTTCGCCGAACGCGTCGGTTTCGCGGGCGTTACATAAATCGTGACGACGGCGCGAACGGTCAAATGTGAGTCACGTTTGCGCAAGCTGACGTCGCCGCTGTGAAATCACGTCTCGCGATTTACCAATTTTGCTTGATAGACGCGTCGACGAGTCGTCGAGGCGCAACAGCTCGCCGGCGGCAGGTGAGAGTCTCGCGGCGATCTTTTCTCGCGATTTCCAATATCGAGCGGCCATTTTTGTTTGCCGTCCCGATCCATGATGATTCCAGTTGGACGGAAAATAGTCCATCATAACCTCACGTATTTATTATCGTCGCGCGGAACGTTATGTTTTCTCAGCTTCCTTATCGGAATATTAGATTAGCGATCGAGAGCAATGGCGTCTCTCTTGACTGTTAACTGGCTCATTTCCGACCGATATTTTCGTTCTCGCCGGGAGCGAGACAACAGTAAATACCTTACGTCACTGTCGTTTACGGCAGAGGTGTGACATTTTTCCGGAACTGCTTTACGCGCGGATTGGAAACAGCGTGACAACAACTTTTTGCTCGCCTGTTCGTAGGTACGTCAGTCCTTTCTCCTGGCTCCTGAAGATCAGTGATTAACAAGTGCGCGCCCACAGCGACTCTCGTCCGCACGCTCGTCTGTGCTACCTGCGTCTTATCGGTCCGGTTAATCTCAGGTAAGAGTAATTAGTCCCGCAACTCCGAAAACTATCCGCGTGGCGCGTGGTTCCCATCAGTTCGGCCCGAATTAATTAGAATATACGTCGTGTATTTATCGCGACGTGATGGGCACCACCGCCGACGCCGTCACACGTTCCCATTCACGTGCCGCAATTATCGCGTTGTCTGCGAGGCCAGTCATGTTTATGACGGAGCTCGGAGATGCTTCGCACGAACGGCACGATCTATCTATTAATAAATCGTGATTATGCGCCTATACAGAAACCCGACGATTCGCGCTGCCAAGCTGCATAGCTACCGAATACCGATTAACCGGCGCGGCTATGGACGCTAATTGAAGATTATCTATTCCGCGAGGATACTTGGCGTACTTCTCACTAACGAGATCTGATTCTGATATCTGCCGATATACACCGGAGAGTATCTCGCTCGCGATAATAAGTGCCGCGGATGATGCTTTATTTATTTCAGACGGTAGAGTCCGTTAATTGCTTATTATAAACACTCTATTTCATATCCTGCAACGAGAGTAACTATTGCTGACATGTTACGAAATACCGTTGCTGTCGCAGCACGTTGCTTCCATTTCGACGCAGAGAGCAATCTATCACTCTTAGAAAGCTTGGAGAGATTATGCCGAGATTAGGATTTCATCGTAGAAAACGTCGTTCGAACATGCAGGCTGTTCGAAGGATCGAGACGACAACGTCGCCTTGATTCGATGATGCTTTCTAGATTATTTTTCGGGAGCCATCGCGGAGAATATCAGAGCGATGGATCCGACAAAATCTCGGCGCGGGGCACGGCGGTACAATCCAGCCGAAACACACAAAATGCATTTGCCGGTTTAACGCAGTAGCTGTTGATAATGCACTCGCTCCGCATACCGCAGACTCGGTTTCGCCATTAGTATTCGCGAGGTAAAAGGTGTCTCGCCGGAATTTCGGTGCGTTATTGCAGCAGAAGGTAAAAACACGCGCGGAATGGGCCGTTTAATCACGCGAGTCCACAGTCGGCCGTAAGGTCGATTCGCGATCGCTCTCTCTTGCTCGTCGTACGCAACGAGTCGCGGGATAAGTTTATCGGTCGGAAAACCGCGGCGCTTCGAGCCAGGCTGATGTAATCGTCACGCAGGTGGGTTTCACGCGTAAGAAAATGCGCGTGCTTACGCGCGGCTTAAATTACACGGCCAAGGAAGCTGCACGGCCGTGCGCTTACGATCGTTTGCGCGCGCGCGCGCGCGCGCGCCTCCTCGTAAAATGCAAACAATGCTCCTCCTTCGTCATTCCTCGTAACAATCGCGGCCAATTACCGCCTTCCTCCTCCTACTTTGTCCGATTTTTCCCGACAATCCGATCTCGCTCGCGCGGCTCAGGTACTTTATTTTCATCGAGCGCTCGCTCGCTTGCTCACTCACTCACGCACGCACGCTACTTTCCATTTCGTTTATTGTCTCGTTGTTGCACGTGCATTCGCGTCGGGCATTTAAAATGGAGATACATTGAAATCTTGAAGCGAAATTTTTGTCTCCATACAACCGTGAAGAAATTGTACTCTCTATATAAGCGCATATATGCGCGTGCGCGCGAATCTCACACAAGCTTTGTCCTCGACCTCCGCTAACGCGGCGAAGGATGTAGTAGCCACTTGAATGCTTGCGGTAGGAATGCACTGCATCTTTTATTCGTGAAATGCGGCGCGCAGCGGAGGGAAGCGCTTATGAGAAATACGTGACGGATCGCTGACTCACAGAAGCGTGCGAGTTCTTTCTTGATGCATTTTGCATAAATGCACGGCGAGAAAAATGCTTTCAGCCGGGAGAGATGAGAAAGCGAAAGGATTTACGAAAAACGTCGGGCTATCACACTTATGAGAGAACGTGTTAATAACTGGAATCGAAAATTATAGCGACCGTCGGTTGCGTCAGTCGTATCTACATTTTATAACGAGAGAATGAGTTAAAGCGACTGTAAAATTAGGAAGGACTTTAATTACCTCAGTATCTTCCAACTCCTATTATCCTGATTCTTGTACGATGCTTGTTGTCTGCTGTTTCTCCCCCGCCACATGATATTCGGTGACAAGATAGCACGATCTATTTGTCTCGGTCTTTTATATTATATTTTCCAACTCACGTGAACTGAACGCGATTACATCTGGATCTTATTGCGGTCATTCGGCGAAATTGTGCTCGCCGGCAATCGACAAGATACCGGAAATATTTAAAAGACAACGAATACGCTCCGACGGAATTCACGTAGATGCAAACTGGAAATTCCTCGCGATGCTCCTTCGCCGGTGGCGTATCTGCGCCTGCCACTTAAACAATCGCGCGCCTATTGAGAAATTCTTGCCTTGAGAGGACATTACCTGCCGCTCATCGGTGCGGTATGTGCACTCCCACACCTTCACCTTTACACGCTCGTAATTTGCCATCTTCCATGATAAGCGTGCGTACTCTGAACGTCGCGCGATCACGATTTGTTTTATTTACGAACTATTTAAAAAGAAGAATGGCTTGTGTTGTGGACTTTCTACCTCCTATTGGTCTGCTTTTGCAATTAAGTCTCTCTCGACGTGACTAAAAGAATTTAAGTGCTCTCGCTCATGGATGTAGTATATGAAAAAATAAATAAATAAATATATATATATATATATATAAATTTTTTTTTAAGAAAAATTATTTTTCGAAAGTGATATTGCTCGAACAAAGATTTGAGATCAAACGTCCGTGTCGAGCGTTTGAAGTACTTTGTTTGAACTGAAATACTAGTAGCGAGCTGGCGTTTCCGATCGCGCTAACGAGTCTTCCAGATCTCGAGCTTTAATAATTCAACGCTGTTAATTATTCAAATTGAGCGGCATACTTGCGCACATCCATATACACACGTAAGTCCTGTGTGTACACACAATTTCGTGTAAATTAGCGCAGTGGTTATGTGCAGCGCGTATCGAATCGTACAAAGTACACCGGACAGTGCCAGCGGCACTTTGGCTCGCAAATTATTCTCGTAATCGCACTGAAAATGTTTCCTTTGGCTCGAAACGTTTCGCCCTCTGTCTGTTTTCTTCTCAGAGGGGGGGATGAGTCGGCGTGGATTTAAATTGAAATCCGATAAAACACGATCGGAGGAAATAGAGAGACTCATAGCGTGAAATGAGAGATGTGTGCGCTGTTCAAAATAATTCATCGAATTCGCGTCGCCGTCACGGCGTTTTACATCAACGCGAATGACGCTCGCCGCTTCAAATCCAAAAGAGAATAGAAGAAGGAGAAGGAACGAAAAAGAAGACAGGGATCGTCGCGTTAATTTTATCTCTTTTCTTTTTTTCTTTTACCGTTTTAGTCCGCGGCTGTCGGACATATTCATTTTCTTGATAGCAGGAGAAACTTGTAAAACAAGCGTGTTATTTGTGCCCGATGATACCTCGCGCAACGCGCTGTCAAGAACCGTCGTTATGTAAATAACGCACTTGATACGAAACATGCTCCGAGTAACGAGTGCATCAGATGCACACGCATTCGCGGTTTCGCCACGCAAGGTGAATCACCGTAACGAAAGTGCAGGGACCCCTCCTGGCGCGTATCTGCGCCGAGATACTTGATTCCACGCCGAGCGGAAAACGCGGCGGCGAAGGATCGCGCGAGAATCACGCTGCGACGGCGGCGGCGGCGGCTACGACGCTTCTCAGGCTCTTTCCATCGCGTTTTAGCACGCCGTAAATATTAAATGTCACGCATAGAAATAAATCGCCGTCTCCTCTTTTGCAATTTTTAACGGCGCTCCGAATCGAAGCGACGGGTACGTCGATCGAAATCGCGATGCTATTTCTACCTCGCGCATCTACGCGATACGCCGGTGCAGCTAACCGTAGCTCATCGCGCTCTCAGGTTCTTGAACTCTTCACCCCGGCAAAAATAGGAGAATCGGTCCGTTCATTTCGGAATCGAATTTGCTCCAGTTTTACGTGCGTCAAACGGAGAGCTTAATCCGATTACGGCGCACCTGTGACATTAAAATACTTGTCAAACTGACGATTATACTTTATGCAGCTTCTGCTCTCTGTGCTATTCTATTAGCAACGGTTTAATCGCGCATTTAATACGTAACCTAGTTTCTGTTGCATAATAAACTGTTTGTACTTTGCAATCGGATGGACGAATAGAGAGACAGAGACAGAGACAGAGAGAGAGAGAGAGAGAGAGAGAGAGAGAGAGAGAGAGAGAGAGAGAGAGAGAGAGAGAGAGAGAGAGAGAGAGCGTATTTTGAGACTTCATCAACTTATTATTACTTGATCTTTATTGATTCTCATATATGGCTTTTAATTCAGCGTTTCACACAAAATTAATTCTAATATTAAAACAGCGGAATGACGTGGTTCCTAGATGTTCGTATGGCAGTGAAAAGCATCGGTGGATGTGTCTCAGGTGACCTCTATCGACAATGTTTAATTACGCACATCTATGAACGATCGATGAAGTCTAACGCGAGTTTGCTGGCTCCGCGCTTATGATATTCACGCGCTCGCGAGCGAGGGATTTACTTGGGAATGTGTGCGATTACCAAATATTGATTACAAAATAAGGTATCGGTATACCTGCATCCGCGCGTGTATCTCATCTATTTACATATGTACAGAGTTCGTGTACGACACGACGCTATAACAACGTATGCGGTAAAATGCATCAACGCGATAACCGCAACATACGCAGTGAAACATATATAGCCGCAACTTTGCTGGGCTTCATCCGGGTACTCTCATAGTTCGGTAAGGTATTTCCGATACGGCTATCGGCCAGCACGAGCCGCTGATTATTTTCGCAACTATTTCCCCGGTTGAGGGTCACGTTGTCGTTTAGTCATGCGGAAGTACCGAAATAAATAAATATTTGGAACATACATTCGCGTTTTCACACGGGGACAATCACTTCTGCACGAATTTGGACGTGAACGCGAGTAAAACGGTGAGGAAGATGTGTCGCCAAATCCTGTCGTCGGCGACGCTCGCCGCCGATGATCGATGATGCGCGTTCAGCTTGAGACCGTCCGTTGTTTTATCCTTCCGGCAGTAATACTCCTCGTCGTTCGGCAAAATGTCCTTTACGATGTTGAGAAACTCTTCAAGAGGACATAACTCGGCGCAGCCAGGGATCGTTTGAACGATCACTTGCTCGGTAACGCCAGTCCATAGCAAGACCTGCGGAGATAAGACACATCATCGATATCAATCCTTGTTATGTATTGGAACTTGGAGTATCATTACCAACAGAGAGTAAAACAGATTGAACACAGGTTGTAAGAGATGAGAATATAAGAGAAAATTGATCTCTCTTTTTTCAAGTAAAAATGTAGCAGTGTAGATCGATTTAATCGCTGAATAATTTACATGATAAGTGTGACAAGTCTCGTGTAACCTACCCGGACGTAATAGAATCCTTCCTTATCGCGGTGAGTCTCCAGAATGATCGCAGAGCCGTAAGCAGGCACTGCTGGTTCGTTCGTTCCTAAAGCGTAGGCAACGGCGGCCACGTTGACTTCGTGACTGCCAAATAAGAAAGCTTTCTTGTCTTTTGACAACTTTTCCGCTTGGTGTTCCTTTATATCGTCCATCATCTTGCGAAGCAGCATACCTGCGGAAAGCGTCGCGATTAGGGATTTTGCGGTTTTATTTTTAATGCTGCTACGACAAAGTATGGATTGTTGCAGTTGCTGTGCTAACCTCCGTTCAATCTCCTCAAGGTCTTCGTGTATGATCGAAGCTTAAAGTCCAACTCTATTATTTCTTGCATCGGATTCGGGAAGACGTTCTCTGTCCATCTCGGTAGCGTTAGATTTTGCGCGGCCTGCAAAGAATCGTACGTTAAATTTGGAATTGTTGGTTGATCAACTCGTTGCTCTTCTCGTTCGATTTGTTACCGTCGTTCGCTTACCTCTTCCTTCAATAGATTGTACATGTGGCTAACCGCCCCTGTACTGTTAATCAATTTGCCCGAGTGGTCCGTCAAATAATCCATCACGTTCTTGTACTTATTGATCATCTTTTTCGTACTGTCCAGCTGAAGGAACCGTCTGTACTCTTCTTGATATCTAAAAATCGACAACAGTAGGGAATAGCTCGCGCAATTCGGAAGTCAGAGGAACGTTATCGCAACTGCGAGAGACTGAGCTGAAAATAGGAAGAGAAAGATACGAAGTCCCGATCCCAAGTTTCCCAAGATGGGAAGATCGGCCGTGAGGAAGTTTCAAGACGAAAGATTTAAGGATCCTCGAGTCTCTTACCGCTCCGCGATCGATTCTCTGTAAACTTACTCACCGATGACAGAAATGCGGAAACAAGAGGTTGTCAGTCTCGTACGGCACGAAGAACGTCCAGGCCGGAATCCAGGGCAAGTGCGGATTCCAGGTTTGCCTCTTGGAGGGCGGGAATAATCCCGCCAGCACTAACTGGAGAGACAGCTGGGTTCGTGGGACCTCCGTGGATCGGGCGTAGATCTTGGCCGGCCAATAATCCGGACCGAAATATTGATCGTATCTCTCGCGCAGCATTGTCCCGATTTTGTATTCCCGCATTTTGCCTTCCTAATTGTAAAGACCGAGAGAAAGAGAGAGATTACAATTTGGACGGACGTCGTACGAATTCGTGTAGGAGATATCGGAGAAACGCGCGAGTGTTCTTTATTGAGCCGACTGTATCTTCAACTTTGAAAGTAACTATATCTCCAGTGTAATAATCCTCTCTCGGAGTGAGACACATTAGCACAGCACCTGTACGATTTAATTACAGCCCGTTACTTGGACGCCTTTTTTCTCAGAGCATCCGGAGATTTTGGATATTAATGTCAAACGTTACGTAATGGCGGGGCTATAAAACTGTAAAAGCGTTGTAAAAGACAAATTCTTTAGAATTTGTCAAGTAGATTTTGTATGCCTCAAGAAAACGTTATCGTACGTTAGAAATATATTACGTAACGATGATACACCGTAAGACGCGCGCCGTATGATGCCGTTGAGCAACGTTGAGAAATCGCTAATACGGCAAAACTATAATGAACGAATCGATACGCCTAATTACGCCTAAAGACGTAGTGTCTCATATCGATCGCCGTAGTTTGTACTCACGTTAGTCAGGTCACCGTTTCCCATTGGATAGTAAGAATGGTCGCGATACGGGTCGTTGGGGTAGTTTTGGAACTCGCGATGAGGTACTTTGTCCCCGTGGCGAAATACCTTCGAAACAGAGAACATTCTTACTTATATAAGTTGTATCGCCGTCATTTATTATCATTACTGTCATCGCGCTGACGACGGTCTTGATAATGTAAATGTTTTGTTACTTGTCTCGCACGAGGGGATGATCATCACTTGCTTCGTAACTTCTTAATTTCTTTCGTAAACTTTTATATCTCCCTTTTTCTCTTTCAACGTCTCGATGCGCGTTCTCTTGCGCGCGCGCAAGCGTGCTATTGATTTATTTGGTAAAGAACAGTTTAAAACGAACTCGCTTCACACTCGTAGAAGAAACGGATACCGGGAGAATGCGATTTTATCTCGCACGTTTGCGAGAAATTCAGGGAAGGATATCAAGTCTTCGAAGACGATGATATGATCTTTCCTACACCCCGCGTAGTAGATCGCTACAACTTTCTTTTCGGGAAAGTGATCCTTTCCCGTGTGCGAAGCACACGAATCACACGAATCTACGAAAAAAATGAGATAATTCTTTACCACATGGAGCAGCTGCAGTTCCATGTCGGAATTAGCGCACGCAGCGAGGCCGATAAGAAACGCGCCGAGCACCATCGATTGCACTAGAAACATTTTCGCGATGTTCCCGAAGGCACTTGCAAACCAATCGAACACTTTCGACACACTCTGATCGGACCTCAACGACGGTCGCGTCCGGAATCAACGATTTCACGCCACAATCAGCAGTAGTGTTTGTATTTCTACTCTCGCCTCTCTGTTGGCACCTGCGAGTGGGGGTGGATAAGGAACAGTCGAACAGGCTCGCAATTCCAACGACTTTTATCGCAGAGTTCCCCGCTCAATGACGCCTGATCCTTTTCCCTGACGTCGGTCGTCTCGTTCCTCGAAGGCCACGTAATCGAAGAGCAGAAAACCCACAGAAAACCGCACTGACATTCACGTAGGGAATCCTTGGTCCGTTTTTGCAACAAGCCCTCATATCCTGTCGGACCATATTTTATGTGCAAAAATCGTAAATACGGACGAATGGTCATGTAGCAGCCGAAAATTTGTCTCTCGGACGCAGAATCTGCTTTCTTTCTTCGCGAAAATTTCAGCTCTAACCGACGTATAATTAGCGAGATTATTAATTAGCGAGATTGACGGAGGATGAAAGGAAGGAGCTTATCTTTTCCGAAATATCTCGGCAAGGGCATTAAAACACTGACGTTGATGTCTAATCGATAGCAGACAGTAAGAACGAAGAATCGGATAATTGATGCGAGAAATTCCATCGCTATATGAAGGAACGATCACGAGATATCGTTGCGAGAAATTTTTATTGAATTCTTCGACGCGGTCTTTTCTATTTCCTCGAGAAGCTCGTACTCATTATGTGTTTACCTTCTCTCTCCTTTTTCGTCACATTTTTTCATACTTAGCGACGCGGAAAATGGTTTGTCGCGCTTCCACGAATGCATTGAATTTACGAGTCTCACGTTGAGACGTCTTATCATACGCTTTGGTTTATCTACACATATGTGAGCGTTAGAAAAAGATCTCTATAAAACTTACCGCACAAACGGCATAATTTATGATTCATTTCGACGTGTACTGCGACTCGAGAAGTTTCTTTCGAAAAATTTCCTTCTCTCCTTTTCCCCCGCCCGCGCATCGCATCTCGCTGCCCGATTTTGTTTTAATAATTGGATCGTAGTTTACACTGGCTTGTCCAGCACAGCCTACTTGTCCCAGAATATGTTTCTCAGTGCCGTGTACGACATACGCGACTCTTTCTTTGAATATAAAATTAGTTATCCATTTTTCAATAATACATGTATATTCTCATGTTACGAAACATAAACATAAACTACGCATCAGATTTCTTTTTCGCAATTTTGAAATTTTGACGAGTGCCGAGATATCTACGATGCATTGACACGTCAAACCGACGTCGGTATGTTGTGTCATGTGCAGACGCGCGCGAAATCGGCTGGTTATAACGATCGTATTATCGCAATCTCAAGGATATCCAGTCGATTTAATTTTTGTGAACAGCACACTGCGCTCATTTCGATTCGTGTATCGTGCTACGGATTTAATATATTCTCTTGTGTTCTCAACGAGCGTTATTTGTTTGAAAATTATACGCGAACCGCGGCTTAGTTTCGGACTTGTCCAGCAACTACGTTTTCGCGATCACACGTTTTGCGTCTTATTTCTCTTCGTAAAGTCAACGTGAATCTTTATCACCCATCTCGGTTACGTAATCCTAAAGAGAAAGTCTACATTTGGCTCGACAGACTCCCAAAACAACCCGGAAATTGGTAAACTCATATATATTAACGGCTCACAACAAAAAGTAGATATCAAAAATGTCGTTAATCCAATTTATGTTACTAATTTATATTATTACCAGAATTGAGATATAATTATTTCATTCGAACGAACGAATATCTTCTTCAAGACAAGCGAATCAATACGCTGCTCGTACTTCTTCTATTCTCGAGGTTTTACCGTCCTCGCAGTCTCAATTCTCGAGGTAACCAGCAATCTCGAAATTCGTATAATCTGAAGTTTATATCACAGTCAACAATCCCAGACGGTTCATAAAAAATCTGGAGCGCCTGAGGACTCACATGGGAAATCTGAATGATAGATTGCGTCAAGAAAAATAATCGATCTGATGCATTTGACTTTGTTTTTCTTTTATATGTTAGCGGTATGTCTCGTGTCACAATTACTCTCGCCGTCCAGACCGCAAGCAATGAGTTTTCCTTTCGTGACTCAATTCATCGAAACGAGGAAAACAGGGTCTTTCTAGAGGAAATAAAGATCTAATGCGCAATCGAAGATGTATTTATTTCTGGCTGGGTTTTGCTCGCGTCGTAGATTCCGGTGCGGTTAGTGAAAATGCCTGAGCTGATTAGCGAAACGCTTAAATATGCGTGCTACTAGAATCGTTTACGTAACGTGTAAAAAGTCAATCGTGATCACATGTATAAATTTGGTTGAAGAATCTCGAGATCAAACGATTGTGCCGATCGATTAAATCGTCGCGTTCCTCAAATTAGCAGACGTTCAGAATTTGAACGTTTCCTCAACAACACGTTGACATCGTGGCTGACGTGTATTTAATTAATGTTGACGTCAGTCAACGCTGCAGTTGCACGATCGGCTTGTGATTTTTTGTCGGCGGATAGGGCGTATGCAATTTCATAATCACGCGAACACGGCAGGCACAAATCATTTAATGGTTGCGGTGTAATTATATATAATGAATAACTAGGTCTGATGTAAGGGAAGAAGGTGAGTCGTTAGACGATTATATCGTACGCCTTTAATCAGACTCATACCGCGATCCCCGCGTTCTCTCACGAGACAATATCTCTCTTTTCGCACAGGGTGCAAAACTCGAAAAGAATTTTTCACTAGCTCGAAGTATCTCGAAGATATTTGCCCGTTGCAAAAATAAAAGGCATAAGGAGGAAAGAATATCTCGGTGATTTAAACAATCTGAAAGGTGATTAACGATGGACAAATATAGCGAACCGCTGCATCCCGCGTCAACGTATACACACGGATATATTCCAAAATATTCTGAAGCATTTAGCGGTCTAATCTAATCACTTTGGATTCTTATCAACCGTGTGAATGAAATTAACTCGTGTGTTAAAATTTAAGTTGCAACCGCAACAATTAGCTTTTTTTCTCCACTTCCAACAGTCGTCGTCGTATTATGCGCGCGAATTATCTTATTATATGAAGACTTGTATTCACACAGACGTTTCAGCTTGTACCTGCCAATCAAGTCGATCTTAAAATTGCCCATTACGTTTTTTGCGAGGTCTAGATGTACAAATCAAGCGTTCGTTCAGTCATGATCGATCAGTCGTAAACTCCGGCACACTGATGAAATTTTATGCTATGATGCATCATATACGGAAGCTCCTGTTAAATTACAAAATTAAATGTTACAAACTATTATTGTATTCGATCTCGCACATCGCCATCTCACACGCGATGTATCTACACACTTCTATAATAGGATATACATCACGTAATTTTTTTCTATTGAGTGAGGTCGACAGCTGTTTTAGCGCAAGATCAGCTAAACGAGATCAAATGTTATTACGCGTACCGCGTAATTTCAATACGCGGGATATTGAATAGAACGACTTTCGCGTGGCCTTCACTCAGCGATACTTCGCCATAACTGCATAAATGAATCACTGTAATTCATTTAATGCCTAACCTTCTGTCGGTTATTTCTCTACCTTAATTATGTCGTTAACGTAAATTGCGATACGTGCTTGTGGCCACTTACCTCTCTACGACCGCTTACTGCATTTGAGAAAGCAAATAAATCGGCGAATTTTGCCGTTGGTTGAAGAGACTAACGCCTGTTTTCAATTGTCAGCGAAAGAAATTATTTTACAAAATGCCTTTCATCAGAATTCAATCAAGTTAAGAATTCATTAGATCGTCAAGAATTATTTTTGGTCAATAAGAATTGACCGTTTTGTTTGGTTGTTAATTTGATATAGCACTATGACTAACAACGCGAAGAAAAAAAGAAACCTTCACGCGAGCGGGGAATGTCGGGTAATTTCAGCTCGTAAAATTAACAAACCTCGTCTGTACGCAAATGATGATGTTACGTAAAAAACGTAAACTGAGCGCACTCGCAATTATCGACTGAACTTAACACACTGTAAATTTCATTATCGAATAACTCTCCAGTATCTCGCGCTTTTCTAGGGCACTTTATTGTTCCGCGAAGACAAGATAAAACGACATTTTAGTCCGGCCGATATTGATATAACAGTTATTTATTATTCGCTCTAATGCGCATGCGTTGTTGATTGTTGATTCTTTTACGTTGAAATTTTGATATCAACTGGCTATACTTGAATTATTCATAAATAATTTTCTGCGTACGAAAACATTAATTAATATTAAATATGATCACAACACGGCAGTTCGTAATTAGCTCCTGTTTGATCATTTCTGTATTATATAACCAAGTGTAACATTCTATCAATATTAAGATATATCTTGTACTCGGCAACGAAACTCGTTACTCAACTTCTGACGCAGAAATAAGAGAAACAGAAAAATCACGTTGTAACGTAACGTTGTCGTATACAGAATGAATTGTGGGTGTGACATGAATAAAAATCCGAGTCTTTATGTTAATGTGGACATGTAGATTCAGAAATAAAAACCAAACCGGTCACGATTGTGTGACTGCTTGCAATCAATTTGCGATACGCGCGTAACTATGTTTAAAGTCGCGATTATTTATGCACGCATGCAATTTTGGCACATCGTGTACCGTAACATAATATTGTATTAATTTGCCGGCAGAGCATACTAAGAAAGAATACCCGAGTTGAGTGGCAAAGTCGGTACAAAAATTTTCGAGATTTGCAATACTCCATAATCTTGTGTTAGAGTCCTGTTAGAAAAAATAAATAACAGTAACACATGATATAACAATAATACATGTATGCACATAGGTTGCCGACGAGATATGTGCATGCTGCGTGTATTATAGATTATATATGTAGAGGTAATAAAAATTACGGCTATATGCATATAATAAGAGCTATGTGTGTAATTAATCATCGGCCGTTTGGAATATCACCCAATCTACGACCGGTTCTGCGAACTTTGCGATTAATTTCGTCTATCTATCTAGCTAGTAAATATTACAAACGCACGCTTCTCAATGTCATACATGCGCGGCCGTAGATCTCGAGATACGTAACACATGTAACATTCTACGTGTCTGTTTCGCTTATTTACAACCGACCGGCCGCAACATTAGGTATTCTTCAATTTTAATCCGATTCATGA